CCTCACCTAAGGCCCAGCTCTCACCTGCAAACCAGCAACAGCCTAATTGGTCTCATTGAGCATGGAGCCCCCTTACCCCGCCCCCTCCTCCCGCCTTCCATTCACCACACTTGAGCCCCAGCAAACCTTTAAACATGTAAATCTGAACTTGTCAGACCTTTCAGGATCCCCATGGCGTTTAGGATAAAAATCACAAATCCTCCGGAGGGCGTACAGGCCTGGCAGGGTCAACCTCAGCTTTATCTTCGACTTCCTCTTCCTCTGAGCAGTTCAGTCACACAGAATCTCTGTCGCGCCTCAGAACCCAGCCAGTTCTTTTTGACTTTGGGACGTGCTGTTCCCTCGGCCCAGAGCAGTGCCCAGCCTCACCGCCACACCCACCTTCACCCAAGTCCCAGGTCCTCCTGTGTGACTCTCTACCGCACCACAGCTCCTTGAGAGGTATCTGTCCCTACCTCGGCTAGCAGACAGGAAGCTTCCTGTAAATACCTGCTGGGCAACTTGCATTCGCATCCTCTCCTGGATTCCTCAGTTTCCCTCAGGATGCGGGGAAATGCCTCCCTGGCCCTGGGCTGGAAGATTTTAAAGTACTCTAAGATAGGTGGAAGGATCCTGGGTGTTCAGCTGCTAGCCGAAAAGTTGGCTATCTGAACCTACCCAGAAGCTCTGAGGGAGGGAAAGAACCAACTAACTGGCTTGCGACGTGATTCTGTAAAGATTACCGCCAAGCGATCTACTCAGTCAGAATGGACTCACCGGCACCAATCAGCGAGATCCATGTTGTCTGTGGTTCACGCCAGGCTGGGCTGGGCTGGGGTTTATGGAGACACACAGGGACTACTCCTGGGCTCTGCCTTGTGGATCAGCTAAGGAAAGCTTGGGAAAGTATGGTGTGCTGCGAGTCCCAACATCTGGGTTCCAATTCTGACTCCATCGCCTGCCAGCTGTGGCCCTGACTGCCCCCAGTCTGTCCCCCATCTACAGAATGGGCCCGGTGGTGGTGGTGGTGAGGGGTACTAGGGCAGCTGACCTGGAAGGCCTGACTGCTCAGCACAGGGCACTCCGTGTTGTTGGTGCAGCTGTGCTGTTGCCGGTATAAAATGGTGCATTTCAGGGCCTGGGGTCTGATAAGATCTACAAAATCCTGACTTCAAGCATTACTTCCCCAAGTCGATGTCTTCAACTTTTCGAAGAAACTCCAAAGCGATGTGGTTTACTCTTGAGTCCCAGGGCACATGTGATTGGCAGAGGGGGTCCTGCACTCACCCAGTCCTGGAGACACACAGACCAGCAGACCCATTCCCCACCCTAGTGAGAAGCAGATATGCCAATCCCCATAACTCAGCAGGAGCATGGGGCAAGGTCAACCCGAGCTTGTGCGCTCAGGTGCAAGTGCGCTAGGAAGGCACTGCTTGGCAGCGGTGCCTGGCCACTCTGGTGGATGGGGGCAGGAAGCATGGGAGGAAGGGCCCGACACAGGACACACAACCTGCAGGGGCTATGTGACATCCACCGGGGAGGCCAAGCACCTTCTCGATGCCGAGCGCCAGGTGGGTAGAGGGCCGCAGCAGGTCTCCTACAGAGCGGCTGCCCCCCAGGACGGGTGTGCTGTTCAGTGGAGGAGACAATGGCATGACAAGTATTAATAGATTCCACACACACACCCACCTGCTCCCTCCCCACCCCCCACTGCTAGAGCTGAGGTACCCTGGAGCCCGCAGAAGCCTGGGAATCAAGCCCTTGTCCTTGGTAGGGGGAGGCGGCAGTCTTCTGATCCCCAAGGGGTGTGGTCTCTGGAGGTGGTGGCTGCACCCCCTCTATTCTTCAGCATAAGTCTTTACAGGGGGTGACCCTCTGACCTCCAGCGGGTTCCTGGTCACCCTCTAGTTAGAAGCCCTGGCTCAGGAGCTGCAGGAAGGAGTTTCTCCTGGGGGGCCTTGGATTGAGATGCAGAGGGAAGGCCAGGGCAGGCCTGGAAGACTCAGGGTCCCTAGGCACTCTTGGGGAGGCACAACCAAGTCCAGGGGCCCGAACTGGGTCCACGGGAGTGCAGGGCAGAGATGCGGGTGCCTGGCCCAGAAGGTGGGAGGGGGTGATGGGCAAAGGGGTCAGGCCAAGGCGGGGCGGCGCGGGAGTAGTGGTGGGAGGGAGAGGGGTTCGGCCGGGGCAGAGGTGGGGGGCGGTCCCCAGGGAGGGGCACGCTATGTCTTTAAGAGCTGCCTGAGCGCAGGTTGCAGCTGCCTGGCCAGCCCGGGAGACAGCGGAGATTCATTACCGCCGACACAATGACCATTGATGGCCCCGTGGCGTTATTCAAATCCAGTACCAATTGCAGCCGAGCCCCTTTCTCCGCGCCAGGCCCGTATTGTTGGAGCGGCCCACTAAAAGCCCGCCCCGGCCCCTAGCCGCCAGAGGCGCCCGCTTGGGTTCAGCCCTGCGCCTCGCCAGCCCGCGCGGCTCCCAGCCCGGCTCCCCGGGCGCTGCAGGTGACCCGGCGGTGCATTCCAGCGCTCGCCGCTGCCTGGGCCGCCGCCGCCGCCACCGCGCTACTGCTACCACAGGCACCCTGGCCGGGACTCATCTACGAGAAAGCGGCGAGAGGGGGGAGCCAGGCCAGGGCTCAGCCGCTCCTCACCTGGGCCGCCGCCGCCGCCACCGCGCTACTGCTACCACAGGCACCCTGGCCGGGACTCATCTACGAGGAAGCGGAGGGCGCCCCGAGCCGGTGCGTGCGCAGGACGGGGCGGGGGCGGGGGCCGGGGCCCCGCGTCCAGTTGCGGGGACTGGACTCGGAAAGGAGACCCGGCCTCGGTCCTCTGCTTGCCAAATGCCCGGCAAGCCAGGGGAGTCCAGGCTGGGGGCGGGGAGAGGGTGTCGGGGTTCCCCGGGGGCCGACAGAGGAGATCCCCCTCGACCTGCGGCGGCGCACAGACCTAACGTGGGCAACTCTAGGGACCCGGGCCGCGATCGATGCCCACACGTCAGGGGCACGGGGAGACCCACGCAGGGTCGGGATCCGCGTGCTTGCCCATCGGTCCGCCTTACCTCGGGATGACCGCTGAGCGTCTGCGAGGCAGTGGGACACACGGCTCCGGAGATCTCCTGGCCTGGCGGCTTTTCAAGGAAAACGCAACCCCGCAGGAAACCGGGGCCCTTAACTCAGGGGCTTCGCCACTGATTGTCCAAACGCAATTCTTGTACGAGTCTGCGGCCAACCGAGAATTGTGGCTGGACATCTGTGGCCGAGCTCCCGGCGCAACAGGGGTGGGGCCGGCAGGGGCCGAGCTGGGGGCGGGCGCGGCCCCTCGGGACGGCGGCTGGCCGGCCCCGGCGCAAGGATCGCGGCCCCGGCCCGGCGCGCAGAGGAGCGACGCCCGGCCCCGTCTCCAACGCCGCCATCCCTCATCCCCGCCCTCCTCCTTTCCGGCGGGTGATCGGTCTCAGCTGGTGGGGTTCTCCAGTCAATCGCGTCGTTTGTCCCCCTTTCGAATTTCGGCTGGGAACGAAACTGGCACGCAGCAGCGGGGTCGAAAGTGGTGGTGGGGGCCTGCCCTCGGCGGAGCCGCAGTAAGTCTGGGCGAATGAAGATGCCGGCAGAATACGCTTGCTAACTCGTTCGGAATCGGTTCTAACCTATCCCCTCACCAGTATCTCCATAACAAACAAACAGAGCGTAAACCAACCCCCAAGCAAGCCGACCCCTTCTGGCAGCGGCTCCGGACGGCCGATGGGCTGCGCCTCCTGCCGCGGCTGGACCCGGAGAAGTGTCGGCAATGGGGCGCTCCGGAGGCTTGGGAAATATAACTTGGATAAATGAATCAATTTCATTAAAGAAAAATCTTCAGAGATAGTGGGGTTTATTCATTTTATTTCCTCAAAATCGCAGGCCAACTCAAGAGAAGTTGCCTGGGGGAGGGGTGGGTGGGAGTATCCGAGACTGAGCTGGGGTCATCTGTGCCTGACTGCTCTCCTGCCCAGCTTATGTCTACAAAAATCGATCTGAAATGGTCCTCTGCGACTGGTTCTTGCCAACTTGGACCACTGGGCACTATGCTCAGCTGCACCGAGACAGTCGGTTCCAGGCATGTCCCCCTGCCCTGCTATCTGCGAACCTAAATATCCCTGTGCTGGCCCTGGATTGTCAGGGGAAGGCAGTCTAGCACCATTGTTCAGAACCAGGGCTCAGTGGGGCTTAGGGGTGGAGGGTGGGCAGGGAGGCAGCCAGGAGCCTCCAGGTTTGAGACCCCAAACAGGCTGACCAGAGCCAGTCAGTGGAGAGTCATTCAAAGCCCTGCTGGACCCTGGCCCAGAGGCACTGATCTCAGCACTGGGTATGGCTGGTCACAGTGCCTCTCTGGAAAGTAGGCAGAACCCAATCTAGGCCTGAACCCGCACCCAGACCAGCTCCAAACTGTCTGGACATGGCCACCCCTCCCTGCATGCATGAGTGTGTGTGCACGCGTGTGCAGACACACACACACACACACACACACACACACACAGGGCCTCTGAGACTAGCAGTGCTGGAGAGCAGTTCATCAGCTAGGGTCACCTGTCCTCTAAGCTCCCCAACACTACTGGGGCCACCATTTGGCACTCTCATCTCCACAGGGTGAGAGAAATCCCACCTTAAACTACTGACATTCAATGAAAAGTAACGTTTTGAGTGGGATGATGTTAAGGTTATTTTTTTGGTTTTGGTTTTTTTCTTGAGATCTCTCTTCAGCAAACAAGCCTTTTTCTCTTCAGGTCATGGGAAGGGAGTTCAGCAGCTCATCCGTGTTCCCCTCTTCCTGGGGCCTGGGCTGTTGGCTGCAGCTGGTCTCAAGCCAGCAGGGTAGAGCAGCATCCTGGGTCCCAGGCTGGTCAACACAGACCAGCCCCTCCTGGACAGTCTGTGGTGCGAGCCCAAGCTGAGGCCAGAGAGGCTGTACCAGAGACCAGGGCTGGGAATCAGAGGGTGGCCACCCTGTTTCTAAGGAAGAAGCTCTAAGCAAGGCTAGTCAACAACCTAATCTTTTATTTGCTCAAGACCAGCTGTTGCCAGCACTGAGGGCCTACATTTTTCCAAGGGATGGAGGGAGGAGGGGCAAATCACCCTGCCTACCAGGCCCGGCCTGTCCCCATCGTGCTTTCAGCAGGGAGTGGAAAGGGAGAGTCTACATTTGGGCCACTGGGCATCTCCCCATGTCTAGATGGGCTAGTTAATGACTATAAATGTCCACATTGCTGTTGAAGAGGAAACTGAGGCACACTGACCCCTCCAGACCTCCATGTGCTGGTCCAAAGTTCAAACAACCCCTTCCTCCTCAATAACCGGCAGGATGAGTGGCAGGCAGCCTTTGGCTGGGGGAAGGTTCTTGGGAGCCCATCTGGTGCCCTGTGTTGGGTGAGGCCAGCCAGGGTCAAGGGCTGGGGGTGGGGGGGAGCAGGAGGAGGGGTGTGGGTGGAAGAGCAGCTGCTGGGGGGGGGGAGGGTCAGCACTGAATAAGGGACCCCAGCTGGGGTTCCATAATGATATTAGTGGGGGACAGGCAGAGCCCTCTGAGGTCTGGATAGGGAAACTGAGGCGGAGACTCCTCTGATCTTGAAGACAAGAGGGTCTGCCGCCAGTGCTTCAGGTCCACTCCTGTCCCCCCAGAGGCGCCTGGGCCTGGAGAGCAATCACTCCACGCTTAGACAGAGACACCGGGAGTAGGGGCAAGGCAGCAGCTGAGTCAGCTGGCCACAGAGCCTGCCTCTACTGACCAACCTGGGGAGCCCCTCCCCCCACCTCAGTTGCTGGGAGAGGGAGCTGGGTTCTGTCGTGTCCACTGCCTGCTTCCCTGCCTGCCTGCCCTGCTCACGTGCCTGAGAAAGGCCCGTTTTAGCACCTGGCCTCCTTTCCCTGCCTGGAGTGAGCTCAGGGAATAGAGCAGGGAAGAAAGCAGCCAAGGGGGACAGGGGGATGTGGAAGTAGGGCCCAAGGGTCCATGTGATGGTTCTGTTCTCCCAAGTCCTCTGGTACCCAGGCGCAGGGAGGGGCCCTTAGCCTCCATGCAGTGTGGATATGAAGAGGACGCTGTCCTGGTCCTGAAGCTGGTAGTCCAGCTCACCCTGGTCCAAGAAAGAGGGGTAGGAGAGAGTCAGGGGTACATTTCCAGTTTCTCCCCCAGATGTCAGAAGGGGAAGGTGGGGAGCGTGCCTGGCTGCTCTGAGGGTGACAGATACAACCTACCAGAAAATGGCTACTACTCCGTAGGTTAACCTATAAACCTCTGGGGAGAGCTCACCTCCCCCAGTCCCCAACTCATTCCTTCCTTCCTTGGGAGGCAGAGGGGGGGGCTCCATGACTTGAGTGCCTTAGTTTGGGGGCTGAAGTGGGGAAGAGGAATACTTCAGCTCTGCCCTGCAGAAACAGGGAGAGGAGAGGATGAGGGAGGGCTGTCCCAAGGTACTGACCAGCAGCTCCCAGTCAGCATCGTTAATCAGCACCAGAATTCCGGGCCGCCTGTGGAAAAGAGTGGGGTGAGTGGCAGGGAGGAAACCTGCTCCGCCTTGGGGCTGTAGGCAGGGGGGAGCCTTCTCTTCTGAGGTCCTCGCTGCACGGGGAGGCTACCTTCTTCATCTTAAGAAAACCAGTTCAGACACACTCTTTGGAGCCAGTGAGAATTCCAGCACCACCACCAGGCTTTTGGGCAAGGTGCTGTGCTTCTCTGAGCCTCAGTTTCCCCGGCTGAAACCAGTGTCTGACAAAGTCTGTGTGGGGATGGGCTGACACTGGCCTCAATGTGTCATGGGAGTAGCAGCCTATCGTCCCAGGGGTCTCAATGAACTCTCCTTGGCCTAAGAAATGAGAGCGTTGGCTCTCAGGCCTCCTGCATCCCATCGGGGAGAGCAGGCGATCTGCTCTTCTGGACCAGAGGAGACTGGACTGGCGTGTTCTAAAGCAGCCCTGTCTGGAGTGGCAGGGCGGGCTAGTATTTGGACAGCAGCTTGGCCTGGCAGAGGCCCCAGAGGCCCAAAGAGCATGGCTGTCCCTGGGGGGAGGCCACACGAGGACAGCAGGCCATGTGCTGAACCAGGGGCTGGATGGCAGCCCTCGCTCACAGGGCTTGTGGCTGCCCTGTGCCTCCAGGCAGGTGAACGTGTCCCACGACAGCTCTGCGCACCTTTGTGATGCACTAGGCTGGTCTTGTTTGAGAAACAACGTGACTACTTGGCACAGGGACCTGGCTCCTCTCCTACTAGGCGGACTGGGCCTGGGACAGGTAGACAAGCTTTGGGCTGGGGGAGGGGTGTCCAGAATGAGCACACAGCCAGTGGCTTCCCTGTCTATGGGAGCCATGTGGCCAGTTAAGTGACAAAGCACTACAATGTAGAAATGCAGTTGCTCAGTCACCAGCCACACTGAGGGAGTGGATGGCTGCCATCCTGCTGGGCAGAGAGACGCAGTCACCATCCTAGACTGTGGGAGTCCAAGCTGGGCAACACCTAACCTCCCTCCCTCCCTCTCAGCGCTGACAGTACGGGGAGAAGTCCTGAGGCCGGTGGAAGGAAGGGGTCGGCCTCAGTTTCCACACCACGCTTGAGGCCACCAGAAGGCAGAACAGCATGTAAGGTTTTTTGCCAAATTCACCCATTTTCTGTCACTGGGTTTTTTGTTTTTAACATCCAACAGTTTAGTGTCATAAAAGAAACTGGAACTAAGCCTCCCTAATTCACAATAAAAAGGTATCTGAAGAAAAAACGACTGAACTAGGCCCAAGACAGAGCTGTTTCCTCAGCGGAGGGAGGGCGGACAGAGTGGGAGAAGCACTCAGAGAAGGCGGCTCACACATTTCTTCCCTCCCTCGCTCCCCCACCCCCGCCCTCCCCAGGGAAGGGACTCACACACTGTCTCCTTGGATGAACAAGTCTGGCCGCTCTCTTAGCAAGTTCTTCTTGATCCAGACCAGGAGGCTCCGGATGTCCCCTGGAGAGGAAGACAAACTATCATCAGCCCCCAACACCTGTGCCCCAGAGCTTTGTCTGCAGGGACAGGACGTGAACCTGGGGCTCAGGTGGCCCCAGCTGTGGTGGTTCCTACACTTGTGGGGTCCTAAGGGGAGAAGCATGGGTCAAGAGAGGCCAGGGGCCTGCCAGGGGAGTCTGAAGAGTGGTCCCTGGTAATGCTGGAGGCCTGGAGAAGAGGCGGTAGCATTACCTATGAGAGGGGACTCAAGGCAGACAGCAAGAGGGACTGTCACATCTGAAAGGGCTGGGGCACTGACCCTAAGTCTGGAAGGGCCACAGATGGGCTTCTGAGAGGCCCTGCACAGCCCTTCCACCTTTATCTCCCTAGCCAGTCTCCGATGGTGGGAGAATTCAGCTCTGCTCTATGAGGGTCTGCATACATTTCCCTTTGAGCACAAGAAAAACAATCGTGGAGCCGATAGCATCAGTTAATTTCCTCTGGCTGAGGAAGAGAGGCTCCCTCAGAGAGGGGATGCTGACAAATCACTGCTCCACTTCGCCCCCTCCCCTCCTGGTGCCCTCTAGCCTGGGGCAGTCACCCTGAAGCCAGGGCTGCTGACTCTCCCTGGAAAGTCGGGTGGCTCAGGGCTTACAGGGGCTCTTCCAACATCATCTGGAGGCTTTGAGGCGCCAATCCCTAGGGTTCCCTTTCTCTAGGCTGAAGGACTTCCTTCCTAGTTCCGTCCGTCAGCTCCCAGAAGTGTGTGGCCCTCCCTCAACTAGCCATGCCTCAGATAGGCTGGGCTCCCTCTCAGAGACTGGAGCACCAGGACCAGCTCAGGGAAGCCAGTAGGGGCCAGGGGTTATCCAGTGTCTGCTGAGCTAGAGCCATGGCTGAAGCAAAGCCCAGAGACTTCACTCGAGTAGGGACCAGGGCATGCTTTGGTTTTACGGTCTGGAGCCCGGAGTCTTGGAGTGTGGCAGGGGCAGGGCTGCTTGGAGGCAGAGAGGCAAAGGGTGTCCGCGGATCTGCTGCCAGGTCATAGACACACGCTGCACCCTCCACAGGAAGGACTTTCAAGCACTCGAGTTGGCCTCTGGGCTGCCCCTTAAGCAGGCAGGATGTATTTTTAGGCCTGCATCCTGAGCGGACTAGTCCCCTCTGCTCTGTGCCTACTTCTCAGGATCATATGCCAGCAGAGCACGAGGCCAGGGGCAGAATGCCCATGGACTGAGGATGCCGCCTTTCCATCTTCATTTCTACTTGGAAACAAAGCAGACTGGTCTTCCCAGACCCTGTAGCAGGCAGGGCTGGGAGTGCTACATCCATCTAGCCGCTTTCTCTTGACACTGGGAGGGTCCTCCCCTCCTTACCCCCTTGCCCGGCGCTGAGGTTTCTGAGCTTCCCTCTTGCTCAGGCTCCTCTTGGCCTCCATCTTGGCACTGTCTGGTGGGCCGCGGGCTCATACATCTTGCTGCCGCTCGATAGAGCTGCTGGGGCCTGACACATCCATCAACCGGCCCTGGCGGGCGGGGTGGTGTCTGGGTGTGCAGAGGTACTGAGAAGCACTGGACAAGGCCTGGCAGGACTCAAGTTAGATAACAAGGCCAGGGCTTCTGCTCCATCCAGATGGGCTTGGGATGGTGGCAGGAGGCCTCCTGGTCATGTTGGAGTCATCCAAGTAAGGGTCCATCCCATCAAGGAGTCCCAGAGGGGTGGGTGAGGGGCTCATTTATCATGATGCTCCTATTTGCTCAGGTCACTCCCACCTCCTCTGCCCCCACCCTCCCAAGGCCTGCCCACATTCTTGATAGCCTGTTACCATGGTGAGGCCACTGCATCACCACGCATATTGTTCCCCCATGCCTGGATTTGGGGGTGGGGAGAGGAGAGGTGGAACTCACGGCCCCCTTTGCAGACTGCAAGGGCCACTTGGCCTGGCCTGAAAAACCCCAGGGACCTCTTGCTAGGCTTGTGGAGGCCCAGACAATATGCAAATAACCTCCAAGCCAGATGGCTGGCTTCCAAAGGCGCCCAGGGGAGGAGGAAGGGTTAAGCAGTCCAGGCCCAGTGGCCTGGGGGTGGCTCTGGGATTTCACTTTCACCTTCCTTCTCAGTGTCAGGCTTTCCCGTTCCTACTGAGGGTGGCCTCCCTCCCAGGGTCCATGGGGACAAATCTTCCCTGTTCCTTGAGCAACTGGAGATTTCAGAGAGCGGGCAGTAAGGCAGAAGACCAGGCCCACCAGGGGAGTCTGCTTTCCCTTATCTAACCAGGGTGGGAAGTGCTACAAACACATTCAAGGGCAGTGAAAGCCTTACCTTTGCCTTTGGCCTGGGATCAGGAAGGGCTTTGGGGCACGTGCTAACAATGAAGGGGAGGGCTAAAGGATGGGTAGGGTGAGATGGGAGAACATTCAGGCCAGAAGGAAGCACCGATGGGAAGACCTGAGGCAGGATGGACCTGCTCAGGTTCAAGAAACAGAAGAGAAAGAGGAAAAAAAGAAAGAAACAGAAGAGACAGGGGGGGCAAGAAGATCAGCAATGGGATGAGGCCAGAGCAAGTGTGGAAGAGGCCTCCCCCTCCTGTTGGCCATGGCACTGTACCTGAAGCAGTGCTCCCTGGGCGCGGTGCCCACACCCCGGGGCTGGTTTACCCATGCTTCTGTCTGGACACATATTAAGTCCCAGCTCAGAAGTAGGGCATTGCCATTCCCAGGCTAAGTGTGTTCTGAGGCCCCAGAACACAGCCCGGGAGGGAGGGAGCACTCTGAACTCCCAAGATGTTTACTCAAAATAGGAGCCACCACAGAGAGCCCAGGCTTCAGCATCAGGCAGCCCAGGGCTTGAGTTCAATTCCACTGCTTCCAGTTGTGTGACCTTGGGTCAGACATTCTCTCTAGGCCTCGGTTTGCTTTTTTGTCAAAAGGGGATGGCAAATAGGGCTGTTGTTAGGCTCTTGGCATTGCGCCTGGCACGTCATCAGTGTAATTATCCCACGAACTGGAGGAGGAAATTGAACTCTGCCATCCCTTGACATCCCAAGCTTCCACACGCTCTGCCCAGTGGCCTGGCAAGCTGGGGACACGCTCAGTCAACCACTAACCAGTCAGTGCGGGCACTGGCCTTGGTTTTCAGTAGGGTACACTAACTCCCATCAGCAGCCAGAGAGGGGATGGGGGACTAGGAGAGTGGTGAGGGGGTCCCAGACACTGTTCTCCCTTCCACATAGACAACATTCAGACCCATAAGATGTCTGGTGTTGGGCCACCCAGGAAGGAATGCCCTTCAAAAGCTGTGGGTGCTGGAGGCCTGACTGCTGGGCAAGCAGCACAGTAAGACGAAGGTGACATCTCTCATGGGGGGTGCCCAGTACTAGGAGCCGTGGGGCCTGCGCTGCCCGTACGATGACAGGAGAGGCAGCTCTGGGGTGGAAAAGGTTAGGAGTTCAGGTTCTGGGGCAGAAGACCTGGGCTGGGTGCTCAGTGGCCACGGGCAGGAAGTGGCTTTCACGGACTTCTGACTAGTGGCAATGAGCAGAACTCCGAAGCGTTGTGTGAGGATGGTAGGGGCACCCCAGCATAGTGAACCGTACGCCCAGCTGAAGGCGACGTTGGCTGCTTTGGTTGCCCCACGACTGGAGGCTGCTCACAAAGGGCAGTGAGGGCTTGCTCTCACAGGCCTCCCCCAGGAGCCCTCCTCCCCAGGGCCTTGTCCTCATCGGGTGGACACCAGCCAGCCTCGGTGGCCGGAATCCTTGTGTCTCCTCCCCACTCCTTAAACCCCCAGGGGCAGGTCCATCAGGCTGTGGGACAGCTCTTGATCCCAAGCAGAACAGAACTGTCTTCCGGCCACTTCTGCCCAACGGGCTGAGTTGGCTGACAGGGACCACACCAGCAATGTGTCCCTTCTTCGCCTCAGATGTGGACACGAGACTGATCCTCTCAGCCATCTCTTCCACCAGCTATACCGCCTATCCCACAAAGTCCACCAGGCTCCAAGCCAGGCTCTTCTGGGAGCCCACCCCAGGCCTTGGCTGAAAAGGGAGAAGAAAGAGTTGGGGTCGGGGAGCAGGAGAGAAGAGGGGGTGGAGAGAACATCAGAGGGTCCATTTACAAGTGAATGGGGGCAAGAATGGAGCAGTTTGTGGGCTAAACTGGCCTCAGAAGGAGGTTTACAGATGTGCGAGGGGACGCTCCTCATTGTTTAATTAAGCAGAAAGTGGATCTTTTCAAAAGCAATTTTGCACAGGGGCTGGGAGGTGGGCGGGAGGGAGAGGAGGGAGGGGATCGGCAAACAGGCCCTGAGAGCAGAGAAAGGAACAGCTGGCCCCAGAGAGGTTGTGAAGCGCATGCTAAGCAGTTTAAAGCGCCCAGGAGCTCCCAGAGCAGCTCCCGCCCGCTCGCCCACCCTCCCCCACCAGCCACCCTTTAATGTGAGCAGAGCAGAGCAGAGGGGCACAATGGCCGGGAAGAGAGAGGGGCAGGGCAAGGTAAGGCAGACATTTCTCCAGCTGGCGGCCAGGCCAGGTCAGGTAATGGGCTCCGCTTGGGCAGGCCACTGATAAAAAACTAGCCTGTTGACTGTGCCCTGCTCTTCAAAGCGCGGGAGCTGGTCCCCAGGAAGCCAGGGTGCTGGGCAGAATGTGTGGACGCTCAGGACACCAAGGGAAGGCAAGCTCTCAGTTGAAGGGACTGGAGTCACAGAGCCACCACACCCACAAACTCCTAGGTGCCAACCATCCCTGCCAACCAAGCTTGTTCCACTGGGCTGTCAACACACACACACACACACACACACACACACACACACACACACACACACACTTCTTACGGGAGCAACGCGTTCTGCTCCACAGAATTGTATGCACACACGTAGGGCTGGAAGGGAGTTGAAAGACTGGTGGTGCCTCGGAAAAAAAGACTGAGAAACTACTTTGAAAACTCAGCCACTGGGAACCCTCTGGAGCAGCTCTGCTCTGACACTATGGGGCGCCGTCTATACCAACGGCTCTCCTTTTGAAGAGCTAGAAGCAACTGCTTTGAGAGTGTAGGCACCAAATAGGCATCTAGCTCAATAGGCCATGGACTGGCTCAACCTTTCCACTTCATAAATGGGAAGACAGCCGCCCCCTGAAACAATGGACTTGCAACCCCTGCCCCCCCCTCCGCCAGGTCCTCTCTCACCAGGGCACCCACTGCGCTCTCCTTGCTCCCACAACCACTTCTCCCCACTTGGCTGGATTGGGAGCTCTTTCCTGGCCCCAGATTCCAGGGCCTGGAGTCCCCCCGTTTGTGAGACTTGTCACAATCCATAATCTTATGGCTGCTCTTTTCTCTGCTGAAGTCCTCAAGACTGGCTTGGCCAAGCGGCAGCCCCCAGGCTGGGAAAGCTGCCAGGCAACAGCTCTGGGCACGGGCACAGGGGCAGAGTGAGACTACTGCCCTCCCATTGGGTCCAGGTGCTAGGGTCGAGGCTGGCAGCTGCCACCTAGTTCTATGGCTGCAATGTGACCATGTCCCCAGGCACAGCAGGGCACAAATGAGAACCAGGAGTCAAACCCAGCCAAGAGCCCAAAGACGAAGGAAAGGGTTCATGGTTGCTCGGCTTCCTCTTTCCTTTCCTTTTCTGCTAGGATGAGAATTCAAAACCCTGGGTCCCAGCGCACTCGTGCGTGTCTTACTCTCTCAGGTTTGACTTCCTTGATAGTCTCTACTGGGGCCATTATGGAATTAAGACAAATATGGCACGAACAAAAGAATGAACAAAAATTTAAAAACTGTACGTAGATTACGGATGAGCATGTTGGGAGCCCTTGGGGATAGAGACCGACAGGTTAGAGGCCTGGGACTAGGGCTTTGGAGAGTCTTAGGTGTGGATTCTGGCTCTGCTATCTTAGATAACTGTAGGACTTGGGATTGAGCTCTTTCACCCCTTCATAAACTCAGTGGAGATCTCCAGTTGGAACAAATACACACCTCGCCATTTGAGGCATTGCCCACTGCCCCAAACTCAACCTGGGCCCCTTTAACGAGGGTCTCCTCCAGCTTGGGACACCCTAAGTCCTTTCAAAACCTTGGGACCTGCATATGTGCTAACCCCACATATGTGCTTCATGTGTGCTTGGAAAAGGTCCTCAGGCATCTTTACTCTGCGTACACGAGGCTGGCTTCTTTCTGTCATGCATGTTAGTTCCAATGTCACTCCTTAAAGGAGCCTCCAGGGACCACCAGTTAGTCTCACTGAGAACACCCTATTGCTCCCCTTATAGGAGTTACTACAACGTGTCATTATGTATTTGTTTGTGGACATATTTATTGCCTGGCTGTACCCAAATCACACTGTCAGCTCTATTAGGGCAACACTGCTTTGCTCGACATAGACTACCCAGCAACTCGTCCTATGCCCGACACAAGGGGAGCACTCAGCAAAACCTTGCCAAGGGTCACACCTGGCACTGGGGGAGCACTCAGTCCATGAATGACGCAACGGGGCTGTAACTATGGAACACTGCAAACTCGCACGCCAAGCAAACTCAGGCGGGAATAAATCACGGCAATAAGCTTCCTGATGACGCCTCTCTGCTGAGAGCCTTGGAAGGCTTCTTCTGCGGTGGCCCTTGCTTCCTCTCAAGGTGGCCAAGGCGGTGTGCCCACCTGACAAAATAGGGAGCACTGCCCCCTTGACCACTTCAGACCCTCCCCCACCAGAAACACACACAACCCACCCCCAAATCATAGTGGGCACAGCCTTGGTAAGGCCCCCTGTGCCACTGGTTCCTGGCTTGAGAGATGAGCAAGGCTTATTGGCAGCCAGCCAGAGAATTTGGGCAAATAACCGCGTGCCCTCATTGGCAGAAATACATCCAGTCTCGGAAGAAATCTGTTGAACTTCACTTGATCGTTTTCTCCTCCCACCTCCATCCAACTGTACCCCCCTGCTTCCTGGATGGCTTTCTCCTCCTCCCTACAAGTATCTCAGCTGTAAGTGGAGGCTGGGCTCTAAACCTGGGCATCCTCCTCTTGCTGGGACCCATTATTAGGCTGGTGCAGGACCTCAACAGTGGCATCATCTAGCACTGACCACCACCCCCAGCCCCCCGCCCCACAGGCTACACTGACATTTCCCCACGGGGACATGTGCAAATGAACTTTCCACCAACGTCCCAATTTGAAGAGGGACTAGCATGTGTCCACCCTAGTCCTGAGCGCCTGGCACGGAGTTTGCAGCTGCAGAAGCACTCAATGTCCATGTTCGATGAATAAAAGAAAAAGCACCTGAATAGCAAATTAGGAAGAAAAAACATCTAGCATCTCTTACAGTGAACCACTGTCCAACTTTTTATTTTTCACTATGGAAAAGTTCAAAGAATAGTAAAAACGGAAACCAACAGAGACATCAAATCTACTGCCACTGAGTTGGTTCACACTCACAGCACCCCTACAGGGTTCTGAGGCTGTAACTCTTTAAGGGAGCAAAGAGTTTCATTTTTTTTCCTCTCAAGGAATGGCTGGTGGGTTTGAACTGACAACCTTGAGGTCAGCAGGCCAACACTTACCTGGCAGGGCTACCAAGGCTCTTACAGAATAGTCACAGAACACCTGTACTCTCTTCATCTACAGGTAGTATGTAATTAAAACATTCTGCCACCCTGGCTAGCCATTCTTGACTGGTATCTTTCATGGCTAGCTATTTTTCTTCTCATCCAAATCCTTGTATCCTAATGTGATCTCAGTCACATCATTTCATTCATTAAGTTTCCTACTTTCATGAGAACATCTCTCGGCTGCCGTGTCATACCAATGGCATGCGATGCCATCAAACTGGTTCTGACTCAGGGCTACCCCACACACAACAGCACGAACCCACCCAGGTCCTGCACCATCCTCACAAGCTGTTGAGCCTGCGTCCACGGGTGCAGCCCGTGCCCGTCCATCTCACTGACAGGCTTCCTCTGTTTTCACTGGTCTACTCTACCAGGCAGGATGTCTTTTTCGAATGTATGTAAGTCCCATTGCCCACAGCGGCACTTCTTCCCTGATAGACCTGCTTGTTCTTCTGGCAGGGACAGTGAATCTAATGTGGCTCTGCTAAACAAAGTCTGTGACTCCCACAGACGACCATTCCCTGCATGGGTCTGGCAAGAAGGTGGGGGGGGGGGGGAGATATACTGATAGGATTCACCTCTAAGTAACTGTGAAGAGTCCCCGGAATGCCATCCCGCTGCATACAAAATGAGCTCTGAGAAGCAGGAGGAGAGCTCTCATTACCAGCAAGAGTCAGGTGCAGAGTAGTGTATCCTCTGGACCTGCGGTTCCTGTGCAGCACACTTCCTGGAGCCAAAAGACTACCAAACCATCAGAGCAGCAGCAGCTCCGGCCGAAGCAGGGAATAGAGCGGCGGACTTCCCAACCCACAGAACAGGTTAAGCCAAGTGCTTTTGTGCGTGGGGCTGGCGTATCAAGTGGGGTGCCTCTGGGCACTTCACTGGGGAAGCTGGGAGTGCTGACCCACAGAAGGAGAGCTGAGTGCCTGCAGGTGGAGGCCATGCAGACAGGCCTCACTTGAAAGCACTCTGGCTTGGATCAGAAGCCCCCCAAGTCCTCACAGTGCTGGTCCCGCTCTTCCAGACTGTAAAGAGGTGTTGTGTGATAGGTTTGCCGACACAATCTGCCATGTTCCTTGTTTTCTTTTCTTGTCAGTTGATTTCGTGACTGCTGCTTCTATGAGTACTGATTGTGGATCAAAGCAAAATGAAACCCTTGACCACTTCAGCCATAATAACTGAGACACAAATTATTGTTTATTCGGTCCTTTAAACAGCCCCGAGAGGTGGGTACTGCCATCCCCACTTCACAGACAGGGGCACTGAGGCTCAGTGAGGTGAGGCCCTGGCCTAAAGCTCGCACAGGACTTCATCTCAAGTCTAACTGAGGACAAGGCCCACACTGGCAAGCCCCAGGCTGCCCTGTCTTCCTCTGGCAAAGCTGGTGGACTGGACTGCACAGGACGGGGGAAAGTACCACAGTGACCGTCCCTCGTCCTCCCTCTTTGGCCTGGCTTTCCCACCTCAACCGACACGAGTCATCCCACAAGACTGACTCCTGCCCAATACCCACCGCTGAGGGGAGCCCAGAAGGTCAATACTCACAGGGCGCCTCCTGTCCAGGCAAGGTGACCTGATGCTTCTTCACACCATCGAACAGGAGCTCTGCACCGCCGCTGGAAAGGAGGGCCAAAGACAGCCAGGTAAGGAAGGGGCTGCCAGCAGGAGGCAGCTGAAGCTGAACAAGGAGATTAGAGTTGGAACTGGAAGCCCCGGAGACCAAGGGCCAATGTGGCTGGTCCTGGTGACTGACTCTCACACGTGAAATCCTGACATGGTACACTCAGCCCCAAACTCACAGCCATCCAGGCAGAGCTGACTCACAGCCACCCCGTGTGGGCTTCCGAGGCTGTTTACAGGAGGGAAAAGCCTAGGCTTTTCCCTCCAGAGCTGCTGGTGGCTTCAAACTGGCAACCACGTGGATCGAAGCCTGATGCGTAACCACTATGCCACCATGGCTCCAACGATGGTAAAGAAGGATGTAAACAATGTTTACTAATAACCAAGCACCCAAGAGTGCAGACTGGCCCATTCACTCTGGAGGGAATAAGAGTTGGAGCTGACTTGGGAACAGAGAAGAGGCTCCACTGTTGGCCTGATGATAAGGCTCTGGGCACTCAATCTTCTCAAGCCTCTGCATCTTCATCTACAACAAATGTTGACAAGTCATGTGAGCACATGAAATACCCCTCCCCAAACAAACCACCTACTGCTGGTCTGGTGGGTGGGCAAGAGAGGCTACTGGGCTTAGTACCAACTAACAAGAATGATCCACATCACCTCGGCATTTCTAAGGTGTTTCCCATCTCAGTTCTTCCACAAGGCATCCCTGGGAAGAAGGCCGAGAGACGTATTATCAAGTCTACCTGACAGAAATGCAGATGGAGGCCCAGAGAGCTTAAGAGATGTGTCTAAGGTCGGACAGGCAGTGGCTGAGCTTGGGATGGAATCCTAACTGGGAGAAGAAGAGGGGGAAAAAAGCTTCCCCACAGGTCAGGAAGCTCCTTGAGGACATGCCTGCATCCTAGCACCAGCCAAGGGAAGGCTGTCATAGAGGAGATGCTGAAGCCAAGCCAAGAAGCCAAGGCTTTAGATGAGCCCGAGGCTCTTTCAGTGGCCCACACAGGCTCTCCCTCAAGTCTCCTAGTTTCTACCTTGGACTTCACGTGGCCCAATTGAGGCCTTAACAGACTTTGGATGGATGGGATGCCTCCCAGCCTATCACCCTTTCTCAATTTTGGGGAACAGAGATGGCCTAAGAAAGCCCCCCGGGAGGTAGCGGCAAGGCAAGCATTGTCATGGGGGAAACATGGGGCGACTGTCATCCAAACAAGGTCACACTTTGTTGATGCAGAAATGTGGAGGGGGTGAGCAGGCCCATCTGTGGCAGCGCACAGGGCCATGTCAGCTGCAAGCCGGCACAGAGCCTCCATTTATCCCCTTCCAAGAACCTCCTTCTCTGCTGTGGGGGAGGGAGGGGGTTGGCACATGCAGCAGCTGGGCTGGGGGAGGGTGGCAGTCAAGGGGCTCAAAAGTAGGGGGTCAGAGAAGAGGGGTGGCCAAACCTGGTGGTGCCAGGCTCGGAGGTTGAGACTGTTTTCCCTGTACAAGCAGATGAGGGGAGGACCAGTCCAGTCTAGCTTAGTGAGTGACCTGTCACCACTGAGTTTATGGGCACGTGCCTAGCCTCTCGAGAGATTCAGAGAGGTAGGCATGGGGCTCTTCTGGCCCCAGAAGAGACCCAAGGCCAGACCCTCTTCCGTTTTGCAGGAGTTGCTATTCAAAGCCACCCAGGGATTACTTACTTAGGGTAACTCACCTTCCCCAAGTGGAAGGATCCCCAAGTGTTGGTGATAGTGCTTGCTTGGGGCCAATGGCAGGTAGAGACAGTCCCAAAATGGCTTTTACTGACTGTAGCTTACCATAATCTTTTTCTTAAACATTATTTCCCTCACTTAGCTGAAATGAAAGGCCTGTCAAAAACAATGCCTAGCACACAGAAAACACTCGTAAGTTAACGACTCAATTAATAAAAATGCCCACTTTTTTATGCAATGGCATTCCCTTCCTTTGCCGTGACTTGCCAGACACAGGGAAACTGGGGAAAGAGGGAGGGAGCCTTCCACCTGAGCCTTGAAAGCCTGGACCTCTGGGACACAACACACCCCTGTAGTATGTATGCACTGAGTCCTGTGTGTCCTGAGAAAATGCTTTGCTGGTGACAGTTCAGGAGACAAGGCAGAGGATGGCGGAGGGAGGAAGGTCCAAAAGAGCTTCTAGAGTCTTAAAGCTGGTGGGGCTGAGAGGATTGCACCTTCAGGGAGAAGTGACACAGTCCTAATTCAGACTAGTCAAGGCTCAAGGGGTCCATGAAGTGACAAGAGGGAGGGGATGAAGGGCATGGTGGTTTCTTTGCAAATCTACTCAAGTTCAAAGTAAAGGATACAGGATGTGCTGAGGCACATGTGCAATGAGAGCAAGGCCAAGGGCAAAATGCACAAGAACAAAGAGAGAAGGAACCTGAGTTTGGCACACCCCTGGGCTCTCCTTGCTTCCTAAGCTGCAGTCCTCACGGGACAGACACGCAGTGCTAGCAAGGGGAGAGGATGGTGCTGGGTATAAGTGCTGCGGGTGGAGGGATCCTTTGCTGGAGCTCACTTATGCTTTTTGGGGTAAAGGAGATTTGAAGGTGTCAGGTCAGAAAAGGGGCCATTATCCCAACCACCTGGAGGGAAAGAATCCTATCTGTATCTTCCCTCTACATATGTGCCTGGCATATAAAAGACACATCTGATGAATGAATTACCAACTCTTAAGTCTGAACGAAAGGTGAGTTGGCTATAGACAAATGTTAATACACAGTCTGCCCGCTTCTCCTTTTCCATCTCGGCTGAGGTGTGTGCAGGCAGCAAGGAACCTCCTAGCACTCCCAGTTCTTTGGGGGGGGGGCATAGATGGGCCACAGGTCAGCTAGGCAAAAAAGGACAGAGGGCCAGACCCTACAGTTCTCATTGGGTCCAAAGAGCCAGACAATACCATCGATTAAAATGCACTCAACATTCATGCGCTTTCTCCCTCCCTTCTAAGAGACAGGCATGCTAAACACTGAGAGCACGGACAGAGTTCTGTTTATCTTTGTATCCTCACTGTCTGGCTCGCTGCCTAGCACATGGTAGGCACTCAATATAATGAATGGACTACCCAATGAACGGAAAACTGGAGGCATCCAGTGGAAGGGAAGGCATGTATGGGGGCAGTTTTAGAATCCAATCTCAGCCTCTGTTCTTTCACGTCAGCTTGGTTTCTATGACCGTTTATAGAGCTATCTACCTACACACTCACAACTGTGAGTCGGTGGCAACATTTGGGTTTTTGGTCCCAGCTAGATGCCATGCTGAAATCACACCTTCCGTTTCTTAGAGCCTCCGTTTCTTTGCCTTCCTCTAAGCTCAGCTGTTCATTCCGGTTATGAGTGTGAAGGAAAGGCAAAATCAGCTACTGGCTACTTAACAAGCAGTCTGCACAGCACAAATCCCGGCTGCTGTTTGGAGGGGAGAGAAAATTGTGACTTGAGGGGACTTCTTCCCTGCGTGTTTCTTCTGCTCTGGGCATGTTCCCCCAATTTGTGTACTTAACTTCACACACTGTCCGTGTTCGTTGACCTCACTGCTCCTTACCACCGAATCTCTATGCGACCCAAGATATGCAGGGCGCACTCAACAAATTTACTGCATGTCTCGAGAGGGTTTAACTCTGTTAAGTACCCCCAAGCCTTGGGAAAGAGAATACAAGAACCTCGTTCTGGTCACAGATCCCACGACTGACTGGGTCCCCTAAACCGTGTACGCACACGGTGCTGCATGACAGAAGAAACCGGGGGGTGAAGGGTGGCCTTTTCAAGATTAACGAGACCGTTAAAGATGGAAGAGAGGCTGCCGGCTAACGATTACGTCTTTTGGGCCCGACAGGCCACCGAGAACGCAACTCGTGCGCCTCTATTCCTGGACATACGGCCCCGTCGCCAAAGCTGCTGAGCCCCTCCGACGTTACGAGGCGAGTGGCGTGGCTGCGGGCAGGTGCCGAGCGCCCCGGAGACTCGGTGGTGACGGGCTCCACGGCAGAGGGAGGGGGGCTCCGGGCCCGACAGCGTCAGTCCATCCCCACGGCGCCCCAGCTCCGCGACTCACCCGAACTCCACCTCCACTGACAAGGGCGCTGCCATCTTGGGGAAGCCAAACTTACAGGAAGCACCCCACACTTTCCGGCGCGCCACCCCACTTCCGGTCACGGGCCCTGGCAGCGACCGGAAGAGGCGGGTCTCAGGGAAGCAAACTCTTCAGCTATTGGGTGGAGGCCGAAGGGGGAGGCGGGAAGGAGAACGGAAGCCGCGGAGGGTCTTTGGCTGTAAGAGCAAGTTCTCCTCCGCCTTGTGCCTGCAGGTTTCGGAGAGACCCAGAGTGGCAAGTGACTCGTACAAGGCTGCCCTTGGGCAGGGGACGACTCCCAGCATCCTTGCGTAATGACTGTGAGCCGGAATACTCTTTTTGCTTTGCATTAGTTCTACATCTCTCCCGTCAACAGGGCTTGAGCGATCCCATCCGCTCCTACGACTTCAACTGTGGCCCCCAGCTTTTCAGTCCCACCCCAAAAACGCGTTCTCCTGAGCTCCTACTCGTTATCTAACCATCGCTTTAGGCGCCGCTTTGGTCGTTCGCTCCGGAGATTCCGCGCCTCTGCAGTGGCGTGGTGGTTACTGGCCGGGGCTGCTGACCACAAGGTCAGCGGTTGTAACCCGCCCGCTGGCGCCGCGACACGTGGCTGTCCACACCCGTAGGGAGCTGCGGTTTCAGAAACCCGCGGGGCGGTTCTGCCCTGTCCTAAGTGCCGTCGACTGATGGCAGTGCGGCGGGAGAAAGCAATGGTGAACGGGGATAATAGGAAGGATTCTTTTACAACCTTCATAGTCGAGAGATGAACTTTAATCAGTGACCATACAGGATGTAAAATCTCAAACACAAGATCTAAAGTTACAGGAACTTCACGAAGGAAACTGACCTGACTGGGCGCGGGCTGATAGCTAAGGTCTGAGTAAAGGTACCTGGCAGGGGATTGGGGAGAGAGACCTGGGAGCATTCCAGTGAGGAAAACCTAAGGGGCACATGTTCTGAGTTTTGATTGGAGGGACATGCTGGAGCATCAAGAGAGGAAGGTGAGGTGGGTGCTGGGAGAATAGAAAGAGATGACGCTAGAAAGGTGACAGGCCAAAGCAGTCCTTGTAAGCCAGAGAAGTACTACCGTCTTTGTTCTGGTCATAATGACAGGATAATGAGGGTCTTTAGGAAGAAATGAGATTGCTGAAACTTTTTAAAAAGCATCCTTTCCAACTAGAATGTGGGAAAGGATCGGAGGGGAATAAGAGACAGGGTGTCCCCTAGGAACTTGTTGCAAAAGCTCAAGGCAGGTGATGGGGTAAAGTGGCTGCGTGCTCACACATGTACTGAAATTGGATCCATGCAGAGAAAATTCCAGTAGACCCCTGTGCATGGATGATGTGCAAATTTGTGAAACGTTCTAATAAAAAACAAATAGTGGATGCTCCATGGGCATGTGAACTGCGCAATTCCAAAATCTGAGTTCGGCATTACTAGGGGAGGGTGGTGTAGCCTAGTGGTTAAGGGCAGACTAATGCGATAGCAAGGACTCTGGGGAGTTCAACTGCCAGCTTTACATCTATGTCCAACTGCTTCCCCGAAGATCTTCAGGCAGTTCCCTCAAGGTCTTTGTGCCGCTGTTAGTTTCCTCATCTGTAAAAGGAGGGTGCAGTCCCTACTTCCTAGGGTTGTAATAAGGGCTAAGTGAGTTCTTGGCACAATGCTGCCTTCACAGCTCAGGGACACAACCAGCAAGACACTGGGACCGAGTCTCTCTCCCCTTCCACCTGCTGTCATCAAATTTGGATTCGTCTCTTTTCTAGCCTCATTTTGCAACCCCGTTCGTTCGTTCTTGCATTGACAGCCCCTCCAGCCCCTCACTTGTCCCTGCACCCTGCTTCCTCTCTGCCCAGCCTGCTGCCCTCCCTTCAGCTTTCGCTTCAATGCACAGATCAAGTCCGTGGACAGTTCCAAGCCTCTTCCACATGCCAGGCGCTGCTCCAGGAGACTGGCAACACAAAGACAATGTAGACGCATTCTTGGTCCTCTGAAAGCGCAGAGGAACCCTTCCGTCCGCCAGGGCCACATTCTGTGCTGTGTGAGTAACTCAAGCTTCCCTGGCCTGGGTCTGTAGAAATTGTTTGGGATCAACCAAATGACTTCTTAAGGCCCACTCAGCAAAAAATATTCGAAGGTTTTTCCATTAGCTTCTTAGTGCCTCCCAGGTAGAAACCTTGCCCGATTGGATTCATTTTTGATCATGCACAGTAGAGCGCTTTCCCCATCATAGGGGTTTGATAAAGAATGTTCGCTGGTGACTTGAACAAGTGGGATGAACAAGTAGCGCTCTGCAGCTCATAGGGATGTGATGGCCTCCCTTTGCTCGCAGATTAGGACCAATCTACCTAGAAGGCACTCAGTGGCCTGTACAACGTGACCTCACTCAGAAGTAAGTGGACTTGCTTACTTACAGGCTCCCTGATCCTGGGAGCCACTGCAAACAGCCACCCACCCCAACAGAAGAGACCTAGGGAGGATAGGGCGGTGCTTCATCCATTTGACATCCATTGAGCTCCTAATAAGTGCCAGCCCAGTGCCAATGCTGCAAACATGATGGTGGACTTGGTCGAGGGGTCCCTGTCCTGAGCTGATGGTTCTAGAAGCCATGGAGAAACAGACCACAGAGTGCTATGATATGAAGGGGGACACGGGGTCTGAGCCCCCTTTTCAGGCCTGAGATCAGGGAAAGCTCCCCAAAGGAAGTAGCATGTAGGTCAAAGTCCACAGGGGGCACAGTGGGAGGGAGGAAGGAGAGAGCGCACACCTCAATTAGGGAGTGGTCCCTAAGTTCTCTTTGCATGGTCCAGACACTAGCAGCGCCCCGAGAGGTCAGCTCTTCTGGGTATGACCAGCTCTCTTTTTATAAAAAAGACCCCAGGAGCTCTAGTGGCAAAGTGGTTATGTTAGGTAGTTTAGCTTAGGGACTGGGGCGTCCATTATGCATGCTCAGAGGTTCAGGTTTCCGGCCAGGAAGGGGCGGTACGCCCGGGTGGGCGCTGCACCTGGATTGGCCCACCTAAGCCAGGTAAATTCAATTCAGCTAATGGGGTCGACCAGGGTCGTCCACCACGCCTCCCACCGAATAATTGAAAAGGCAGGAGCCTATAGCCAGTCGTGTGAGTTTCTGACCAGTCTAGGGAGGCTGCACGGGGTGAAGTGCCCTGCGGGTGCCTGTGTAACCCTGAAACCTATTCTAACGCTCATAAAACTCATTTGGATCACAAACCAGGCTTCGGCGTGAATTCTTTCTTGCGTGGAGCCAAGGATCGAGGTGTCTCTCTCCCATGAGAGATTTAATAGTTAAACATTGGGTCACACAGGGTCAGCAGTTCAAAAGCACCAGTCAGCTCTATGAGAGAGAGACGAGGCTTCAGGACTGCCTCCCATAAAAAGTTAGTCTCAGAAACTCCTAGGGTCAGTTCTACCCTGTCCTGTGAATCAGAGCTGACTCTATCAGTGAGCTTAGTTTGGTTTCTCCTGACCCCAAGCCTACTCTATCCAATAAGTTATCCTGCTCAATGAGTATTTACTGAAGGCTCACTTAGCATGCGCCACCTAATTGAGCCCTCACCGCTATTCAGGGAAGTGGAGCGTATGCTCAGTCCCATTTTTCAGATGAGAAAAGTGAGGCTCAGAAGTGACCCTTACGTGTCAGAACTCAAGCCTAGGTTTTTAGGCCTCCGGGATCCCTGCCCCTACCCATTGACCTTCACTGCCCCCAGTTGGGCTAGGCTCACCCATGAGCTTTTCCCTGATCTGATCTACTAGGGCCCCCACCCTTGTCCCCTTCAGCAGGCCCTGCCATCCCCTCTGAAGCTCCTAGGGAGACAATGGCGGGGTCTGCAGGGGAGGCAGAGTCGCGGGTGCCCCCTGCCCACAGCCCTTTGTCTGCCTGCCGGCCCCCCTCCTGCCCTGGAGGCTGGGAGGCGCCTCCCAGGCTTCCTCCTCCCTTTCTTGTGCTAATTGGGTGTCAAGCTGAGATCAGTGGGAACGAAATCCGCCCGCTCGGGTTAAACTGCCGCCAAAGACCCTGGCTGAGCCCAGCACATCATTAGGCTGGGAGGAAGCAGGGCCCCCTCCTTCAGGGGAGGGGTCCGGCCAGGCATTCAGGCCCCTTTGAAAGTCACTTGGCTGCCCCTCCCTTGCCGCGGCCGCCTCAATGGGCCCCTCAGAAGTATTTAACCTTCTTCCCAGGCGTTGAAAGTGATACGCCAAGCACTGGCCTGGCCAGCCACTTGCCTGTCCTGCAGGCAGGATGGACCTCCAGGGCTGCTCGCAGCAGTCCCCCAGGACCCCTCCCCCGGGGGAGCAGGCAAATTGCAGCTGTGACCACTTGAGGTTCAGGAAGGGGAGGGGAGCACGGACAGGGTGTTCGTACCAGCTCTGCCAGTCACAGGCTTTATGATCTTTGGGGAGGCTAGCTCTCTGAACTTGGGCATCCCCATCTGTGGAATGGGGGTACACATGGTCTGTATGCTGGTTCCCAAGGAAGCAATGCCCACAAGCTGTCATAGTAAGGGCCCAGAGCCGGTAGCCACCCGCGAGTTCAAGTGGGTTTGACGGGATATACAGACTCCCTGGAATGGAGCTCCCAGACCTTTTCAGGGCTACCATTCTGTTCCCTCCCCTCCCTTCCCCATTGGCCTCATCCCTGCTCCTGCCTAGAAGGCTTTCCCTGCTACGATTAGACAATTCTTCCGTGAAGGTTCTCCCTGACTCAGAGGGACCCGGCAGACACAGCAAAGTACAACTGTCCCCACCAGGTCCCTCTCTAATCTCTAGCCTGGGGGATGGTCACATCTTTCTCCCTGGAGTGGTGGGTGGATTCAAACCACTGGTCAACCAAGTGCGTTACAGGGGTCCCTAGAGCAACCCATATGCTTGATCTCTTTCTCTCAAGGCCTTTGGCCCACCCCCTCTGACCGTGGGCTCCCTGGGCGCTGGTGAGAATCTGGGTCTGTGTGCTGCTCTCAGGGTAGCCTGCCCTGCGGCCTCACCATGAGCGCCCAGCAAACGCACACGCACACACACGCTGCCTGGAGTCACTTCCAATGCACTGCAGCCCAACAGGACCAGTTAAGACGTTGCCTGTGGCTTCCCTGATACTGAGTAGAAAGCCCCTGCTTCCTCCCACAAAGCATTCCATAACGTGTAATGCATGTTCGTCACTATTGCTGTTCACTTCCCAAGCCTCTCTCAAAAGCGCACCCACTCTGTGGATGGAGATAACTCACCAGCCCGGAGCACCAGGCTAGAACCTGAGAGCTGCAAGAGCCAGGGCCCAGCCAGGCTCACCTCTATGGGTGGGGGTCCCCCAGCAGATGGGAGTTCGTGCCTATCCTGATATCTGAGAACCTGAGCCTGTCTTCCTTATCAGCCACGTATTAGGCAGAGGTCAGGACTAGGCTCTGGGCTAGTGGCTATGTGTTGAGCTACGAACTCCATGGCCGCCAGTTTGAAGCCTGCCGCTCTGCGGGAGAAAGCGGGCAAGGCTTCCTACTCCAGAAAGAGGTAAGTCTTGGAAACCCACAGGGGCAGTTCTACTCTGCCCCGAGGGGTGGCTGTGGACTCACTGGCAGGGAGTTTGGTTTGGTCCAGAACCTCTCCAGAGGGAGGGAAGCCGTGGTGATCCTCATTTCCAGAGGGGAACGGAGGCTGGCCCTAGCACGTGGAGACCGCCTGGACTCTGGAGTGGACGCCCTTCACCACTGCCCCATATGGCCACCAAAAGATGGCTGTTCAACCGGGAGAAAGAACAGCCTATTTACCCCGGGGGCCGGGTGCTTCTTCCCACTGTAGAGAACTCAATCCGAGCCCTAGAGACTATAAGCCACCCTGTCAACCAAGCTGTCCCTTGGAGGCCAGACCAACACCCTTCAAAAGCTCAGGCGCCCTCTGGGGTAGGTACCTGCTTGAGGCAGGTGGAGCCTCCCAAGGGACCCGTCTTCCAGCAACCCTTGGCGGCTCAGCTCCAAGGGCTGCGCCTTGATTCTCCAAGCTCTGTGCCCCCTCTGCTGGCAACATCGGGGCATGACATGCATTCATGCCTGCCTTCTCCCAAGCTCCCCTGAGCCCCCCCGCAAGTCCCCCTTCAGTTCTGTGCCCCATCCACCAGACTCCAGTTTCAAAGGTCAAGCTCCTCAAGAAGCATTCTAGATTTGTCTGTCCAGACCCCTCCCCCCGCCCCCCATGCTTGCTGGCCCAGGGCGTGGCCAGCACATAATCCACTTGGTTGAGGTCCGGCCTTTCCTGTAGCCTCTGCTCCCAGGAGGTAGGGTGGTGCACTAGGGAGGGTCTGGGCCCAAGCCAGGTGGGGGCTTGCATTTGAACCCCAACCCTTGCTGCGTGAGCTGGGCCGAGTGCCTCGAAACCTCCGAGTTACGATTCTTTCTTTGGGAAGCTCATCCATAAAAACCACCACTGCATGGACCTGTGGCGGGGAGGCGATCACCCCCAGCACATAGTTCCCCCAGAGCTGCGAGTTTCCCAGCTGGGCGGCTCCATGAGGTCACCCCAGTCCACATCAGGCTCGCCCCAGCAATACTGCGGCTGCCGTGTGGCTCAGTGAGCATTCTGGACTCCTGGCAGGCTGGGTGACCGCGTGGGCCAGTCTCTAAATAACTGGCGACATGGACTGCAGGCAAATGGACGCACCTAGCCAGGGGCTGGGGCTGGAGGCCTGCCCAAGTTGGGGCTTTCTCTCAGACTGAACAGTGCTTTCACCGTAAAGGCCCCTTCAGCTCTTTGGACCCTCTGAACTGATTCTGCTTCACAGGTGGAGACGTGGAGCATTTGCTCAAGGCCACAAGTTTGTAAGCAGCAGAGGTGCCTCCGAAGCCCACTGTGTGGATCCCCTTGCCAGACTGGTGGGAACTGCCCTGTCGGAGCCTGAGCTCAGACCCAGAGTGAAGGCTCTTAGACCCTTAATGAGCAGGTGGGTCAGCAGGCAAGGCCTGAGCAGAACACAGGTGAACAGGCAGAAGGGCCTGGGGGCTGCAGGGAGCGCAGGTGCTGTGCACACAGGTTGGGGGAGTCAAGGCAGAGTTTATTGGCCCTGAGCCTCCCACCCCATTCCTCCCCCTACTCCTCTGAGCCAGGCTGGGTTGGAGAGGGAGAGGGTGACAAGACAGACCTACAGACACAGCCAGGCAGAGGAGGCTGATGGGCAGAGGGAAGGTGCTCTCTCTGGGTGTCCCGCCACAGCTGGGGCCTCACAGCTCCTCCTCCTAGAGGCATGACCAGGGCGGAATGACCCCTGGACCTCTCTGGCCACCTGATCGGCTGGACCACTGCTGCCCTTGCCCACTCTGCTGGCTCCCTGAGTTGGGGCTTCTGCCCTGGTCCCACTTACAAATGCCTACTCTCAGGGGAGAGCATGGTGACCCCTGGTCCTTTCCCGGAGGCCCTCCTAGCCTCGGAGACGGCAGAACGTGGAGGTGAGGCTTTCACGGAAAACCTCTGGGGCATGGGGAAGGCGGCAGTGATCAGTCACTTGGCAGTTTTCGGGGGGAGGGGTCAGCACCTCGGGGTGGAGGTGCTGGGCCCTGCTTGCTTTGGTCTGGTGTCACCCAGGACATCTGCCAGCCCTCGGAGGGATGCCGGGCACATCACAGCTTCTCCTGGCCTGCCTGGATGCGGGTGTAGGCTTCTTGGTCCAGCGGGACGTAGCGGCCCTTCCTGCTGTCCAGATAGAACAGAGGGTCTTTCACCACGGCGGGATCAAAGCCTTCCTTCCGCAGATCCGCCTTCTGGAACTTGTAGGTCCCTGGGAGAGTTGAGAGGAGGGGGAGAAACTCAGAGCAGGCAGGGCTGGGGCCCCACCTCAGCAAATCGTTCAATCAAAGTAAGATTGGGCAATCATTACCGCCATCAATTGCAGAACATTTTCTTTCAATACTCATTGCTAGCTCCTCATTTCTCCAAAACCAACCCCGGCTTTAATGGTTAAAACCCAAACCATGCCCCCGTTTAAAGTGCAGCAGTGTAGCTGAGGAAGCAGCAGCCGGCTGCCTGGAGCGCCAAGCCCTTTTCAAGAAGGGTGTACTCGGAGCAGCTCTCAGTCGGCGGGGAGAGCGGGCCTGAGCGAATTCACATGCCAGCCCCCCTGGACTTGGCTTCTTCCAGGGCATTTTCTTCACAGGTGGCGGCATCAAAGGGACATTCCACCCACCAGCACGGCTCCTTAGAGCAGCCAGGCGGAGGAAGGGAGAGCAGCCCATTTCGCAGGTGGGAAAACCGAGTCCCGGAGAAGGAAACCCACTTGCCCACTGAGCGGGGAGCAGGACTTGGGTCTTCGGACGGTGTGATCTCATCTGATTTGTGGCCTAACCCATCCTGCCCCGGCCACAAGGGTGCTCAGCTGTGTCATGGATCGAAGCCAGGATGTGGCAGAGAGAATGTGGTGGGACTTCTCCCGAGTCGAGGCCTCCAAAGGCTTTGAAGCTTCTGCCCCCTCCAGGCCCCCCACCCACCAAGAGTCAGCCTTCTGAAGATGAGAGGTCACATGCAGCAGCGGTGAGCCCTTCCTTCCCGCTGGGACCCACTAGGCCAGCCCAGTCCAGGTGCTGGCGACTGGCACCATATGGTAGACCTAACACAGTGCAGAAGAACCTCCCCATCACCGTGGAAAGTGCCCACTGGTGGGCTGGGGGGCCAGACAAGGAAGCCCAGCCCCCTTGGAGTGTGCGCCCCAGCTTTCACCGCTGAGGCCATGCCCGTGGCTGTCTTCTCTGGGCCACGTGGGGCCATCTGGTGAGGCCCCAGACTCCAGAGCAAGGAGCTGCTCCGAGCGCTAAGTCTGTCCTGGGGTGGTCCGCCTACATGCAGCAAGGCCGGTCTCAAACCCTCGGCCCGCGGGAATCCTGGAATCAGGAGTCACAGTTGCCATTCAACCTTGAAGGAGCCTGCAGTGATGGAGCTGCTCTTTTTGATGTGTGTGTGAATTACATGGCAATGAGACTAGTTAAAAAAGCAATAGGAGCGTGCGTGCGTGCTGGTGCTGAGGTTCCATGTCGCCTCGGAGCCACTCCTTCTGGCCTTCCCTGTGTGTGCGAGGCGGCAGATGACCGGCTCAGGGGAAGGTCTGGGGAGGAACAGCCAGGGAGGCTGAGCACGGGGTGGAGGGGGCTGGGCCAGAACTGAGGGGTGTAGGAAAGGTCAGCCTGAGGACCACCTTCAGTGCTTCCTGCCCAAAGCCCTCCTGAGTAGACCAACAGAGAGCTTGATGGAACTACTCCCCGGTCCTCTCCCCTGGCCACCCCAGGAGTCGTCTGGATGCCGACTCTGGCCGAGAAGGCCCAGGTTTCTGGCCTGCTGGCCGCTCTGCCCTCCTCACTCCACTCACCCGGCTCCTGTCTTGGGAGCGCCTTTCCTCATTCCTCCAGCTCCCAACCTCCTTCCGCCTCGGGGACTTCACACTGGCTGCTTCCCATGCTGGGAATGCCCCCAACACCCCCCAATTCCTCCTTTTTATTCAAGTCTCCGTGTTTGCCACGGCCTCCTAGGAATCTCGCAGACATCCCACTCGGGTTTCTCACAGCCGCCGCTCCTCCGGGTCCCACGAAGCAGCTCTGGGTCTCCCTGGCCCAAGGCTGCCTCCCTTACTCCTCCGGACGCTCTTGGCACAACTCATTACCGGTATCCCCAAGGCCTAGCGTGGCCGAAGCACCCCAAACAGAAAGCCAAAAGCCACTGCCAGAGTCCACTGTGATTCACACACTCACTGCCACGGAGTGCATTCTGACCCACAGGGACTGCCCCGTGGGCACTCCAGGACATGAACGCCCGGTGGGAGCTGAAAACCCTGTCTTTCCCCCGTAGGGCTTTCCACCTGCTGACCCTTGGGGAGCAGCCCAATTCCTGACCACTGGGCCACCAGAGCGCCTTACTCTGGATCATGGCGATCTTGTAAGACTGAATCTTTAAGGCGGCAGACAGCCTCATCTTCCTCCCAGAAGGCAGGTTTGAACCATCAACCTCGCAGTTCACAGCCTGAACACTTAACCCACGATGCCACCACATAGTAGGCCCTCTGCTGAAGAATTGGCTCCAGCTGCTCATCTGCACCCTGGGAAGTCCGTTACCAACTCTCGGCCAGGCCATGGATGAAGGCTACCTGCCAGCCACCTCAGCCTCTCCAGAAGGAAACAAGGAGGAGCCTAGGTCTGGTACCTGAGAGCCCAGCAGGGTCGGGGACTGACCTGTCTTGTGCAGCTCGTGCAGGAAACGCAGGAAGATGGGGCGGGCGTACAAGGGCAGCTCCTTTTCCAGAGCCTCCGCAAAGTGCTCCAGGTCCTGGGCGCCGGTGGGGCTGGCCACAGCGGCCATTCCAGCTCGGCCCTCAGTCCCTGGGGACAGGAAGGTGGACGGTGAGGGGCCAGTGTGGTGGGCCCTCTCACCCCGCAGCCCCAGCTCCCCACACACCTGGCACCTCCACGCCGTACACGGCCACGTCGGCCATGTCCAGCAGGCGGCTGAGCGTGCCTTCCACCTCAGTGGTGGACACGTTTTCCCCTTTCCATCGGAACGTGTCCCCCGTGCGGTCTCGGAAGTACAGGTAGCCCAGCTCATCCATCACCAGCACGTCGCCTAGGGAGGGGTGGTGTGAGGCAGGGCTCGTGGCTGGCACGGGCCCAGCCTGGCGGTGCCCGCTGGGCCTCAGTGATGTTTGACCAGACGGCTAGACCTGGGGCAGTGCCCTCCTCCAAGAAGGGGCTTGGGAGAGCTGGGGAGAGGTCCACCCACCAGTGAGGTAGGCCTGGTCCCCCTTGTTGAAGACGTCCTGGGCGATCTTCTTGTTGCTGGCACCCTCGTTCAGGTAGCCGTCAAAGCGGCGGAGGGGGTCCTTCTGGATGATGCGGCCCACCAGCTGGCCTGGTTCACCTGCGGGGCCGGGAGGGTGGATGGACTTAGATCTGGGAGGTCCCAGGTACTCTCTCCACCCCTGATACACCCTGGGTCCTGATCTGGCTTCTGTGCACACTGCTTCTCCCCGAGCCCAGGAGCTGCCAGCAGGCAGGCCTGCTGCACAGAGCTGTGTAGGAATGCCTGCTCACTGAGTAGGCAGGAAGATGGGCAAGGAGACAAACGGGCGGGTAGGCCATCCTCTGTGCCCGGCCGTGCCCAGACGGCTCGGTGTCTCATTCCTGATGGTTCCTCTTCCTCGAGTCAAGCTGAGGGGCTGGGTGCTGCTGTCGTCCCTCTCTGCAGATGAGGAAGCCCAGGTACAGAGGCTGAAGAGGTTGCCCCCGTCAGAGAAGTGTCCGAGCCGGCTTCTTCTAGATGGGCGAGTCCTCTTAAATATCGAACTCAATGCTGACCCACAGTGACCTTATAGAGGGCAGCATGGAACTGCCCCCATGGGGTCGAAACTAATTCTTCACCAGAGCAGAAAGCCTCCTCTTTCTCTCTCGGAGCGGTTGGTGATTTTGAACTGCTGACCTTGCAGTTGGCAGCCCAATGAGTGTAACCACTATGCAACCAGGGCTCCTATGGTCTTCTTAAGCCAACGCAACGACATATGAGTGGACTGGTGGATGAATGGGGCAGTGCATGACCGCGGGTGACAAATGAACTACCGCAGTGCCGAGAGAAGGTGGTGGCCACTGGTTGGGGCAGCATTCCCTATCTGTCCCAGTGCCCCACCCCCACCCCCACCTCCTCCCCGGGCAGACCTGGCTGGCAGGGAATGCAGACACCGTCCGGCCCGCGGATCAGCTCCATGGTGTCCTCGTTGACGCGCACCAGCCGGATGGGGTACACAAAGGACAGGATGCGGCTGTTGAAACCACAGGCCCCCACCTACGAAAGCCAAGACTTGGGCCCGGCTCAGGAGGGGGCGGGGCGCTCGGACCCTGCCCGCCTGCCGGCACCTGCCCCGCACCTGGCTGTCGAAGTTGCCCAGGCTGCAGTTGCACTCGGTGGCCCCGTAGAACTCGGCCACCTGAGGGATGTGGAAGCGGCTGGAGAAGCTGGTCCAGATGGACTGCCGGAGCCCGTTGCCCAACGCCATGCGCACCCGGTGCTGGCTCTCTGCCTCCCGCGGGGGCTGGTTGAGGAGGTAGCGGCACAGCTCGCCGATGTACTGCACAATCTGGGGGAGGTCTCCGCCTGAGTCCAGACCCCCCACCCCGAGGTGGCTCTCACCTCGCCCCCTCCCCACCCGCAAACACCTGCCGCAGGTCCCTCCCCGCACCCTAGGACCCTCAGCCTCCTCATGGGAACCAGGGAAGGCTGGCCCTGAAGAGCCCCATGGGGCTGAATGGTCATGGCTGTGAGTCAGGCATCCCCACAGTGGACTCGGTGGGAGGCCAGGCTCTTCCCCTCCACCCCCACCCCCAACTTACGGTACAGTTGTACTTGAGACAGTCGTCCCAGAACCGGGAGGCAGAGAACTTCTTCCGGATCACCACTGTCAGGCCATGCAGCAGGCACTGCCCCACTCCCACGATGTTGCCTGGAGACGGGGTGGGGGTGGGGCTGGGGTCAGAGAGGTAGGAGCCCCTTCCCTCCAGGGCCACCTCCTGCCCAGAAGCAGCCTCCTTCCCATGGCCTCCTGGGCCAAGGGGGTGGTCCCGCAGGGTCTGCAGAAGGCCGTGAGCCCCTGCTCCCAGGCCCGTACCACTGCCATCCCACCAGGAGGGCTGCCCTCACTTCTGGCTTCAGGATGCCTCTGAGGCTGCCTCTCACTTCAGGATGCCTCTGAGGGGCTTTCCCAGCCCCCATCGCTGGGCTCGGCCCGTCCCCTGGCCTCCTTCACACTCACCAGGCCAGGCAGGTCCCCTCACTCCGGCTGACCCGGATTTACAACGCCCCCTCAAGCACCTTGAAGGCAGCCACTGTCTGTCCATCTCCCTCCCCTTCCCAGTCCTGAGAAGAGCCTGGGAGCTGACAACCTGCTCCGGGCTCCCTGGGGAAGCTGCCCTGCTTCCCCTCATTTAGTGGGCGGGACGGGTGGAGGGAGTGGCCATAGCTGGATTTGAATCCAGAAATCTACGCTCATGTGTCTCCACTGGGGCAGTCCTGAAGGCTGAGGAGGTTGGGCCAGGATTACCTGCCGAGTGGTAGAGGGGGAGGCAGTCGTACAGAATGTCATCTGGCCGCATGCGGAATCCGTAGTAGACCAGGGCAGCCATGCGGTAGTACCTGCGTGGGGAACGGATGCACAGGCTCAGTGGGGCCCTGGACAAGCAGGGGTGAGGCTCACAGGCCTGCAGGCCCTCCCCAGACACCGGGCCCTTACCTGCTATGCACCACGATGGCAGCTTTGGGCAGCCCAGTGGTGCCCGACGTGTAGATGTAGAAGAGCTTATCTGACAGGGAGAGACAGGCAGCAGTGAGCCTGGCTGGGAGCCTCCCGCCACACTAAGCATACCTCCAGGAGCCCACTCAGATGGCCCCGGGCCCGCACTCTGTCCGGCTTCCTGCAGCCCGGGTTTTCTGGGCCCTTGGCTGTGTGCCGGGCCCTGGGGAGACATTGGTGACTCAGATGGGCACAGTCCCTGTCTTCAAGGTCACAGAAGAGGGGGACAGGCAGATGGACATGCTGGCGATCCAGACACACAGGACTGTCAGGAGTCCCTGCCGAGAACAGAGGTGGCACGGGACCTGACTGGAGGGGTGGGGCGGGGCAAGAAGGGGAGTTTCCTGACAAGCGGAGTCTGAGCGCTCAGACGGCGCCCGTGGTCAGTGGGGTGTTCGAGACAGGGAGTCTGGGCAGCTTTTGCACCTGGGCCTATGCCACCCTTCCGCCCTCACAGGGTGCCCCAGTGTGGTCTGTCCTAGTGCTGCTCCAAACTGGCCCACCCGGGACCTGGGAGGTGACCTCGTTTGGAAACTGGCTTTTTCTTTACAAATGTAAGGAAAATTACGACGGAGTCACATTGTTTCAGGGGGCCCCTGATCCAGTGGCTGGTGTCCTTATCTAATGCCACCCACCAGGGACCTTACAGGACAGTGTTGGCTGCCTGGTGTGGTTTCCTGAGTTCTTGTCTTTATGTAGCAAAACTGCCACTTCTTTCTACCGCTGGTTTGAACAGCTGGCTTGTCGGTGAGCAGCCAGGCACTTAACTGCTGCCACCAGGGATCCTGGTGCCCTGGGAAGAGGGGAACCGTGGGCATGGCTACACGTGGAGGGGATGGAGCCTGTGAGGATGGGGCAGTGGTCAGAGTGGTGCTGGCACAGCCGAGGAACGCCAAGGACTGCCAGCCCTGCCAGGCCCTGTCCGTTTGGAAGACGTCGGTGGGAGCACGGCCCTGCCGACTCGGTGCCATTGTTTGGAGCCGCCAGCTGTGGTGCTGTGCTCAGCAGCCCCAGGAGTCTAAGAGTTTGTGCCCAGGGCTCGGCCCGACCGAGGAGACCGGGGCTCCACATCAACCGCGCAGTCCCTCCAAGTGCCTGTGAGTGGCAGCCGCAGGGCGGGCTTCGCGGGTGCCTGCCCTCAGGTGGCTTGCAGAAGCACCACAGGTCACTCAGCCACAGAGGAAAGCGGAGCCTGGTCCTGGTGGTGCCACCAGGTGCCACCAAGCATCACCCGTGTGACATCCGTCCCACAGGGACAGGCGCTGCCTCGAGTGCCACTTCTGTGAAAGCACAAGCCTACAAGTCCTGGCCACCAAGCCTGCTGGACTCGCGGCGACCCTGTAGGGCCGGGCAGAGCCGCGAGTCCCCCCGCAGAGCGGCTGGTGGGCTCCAGCTTTCCGGTAAGCAGCATCACCAAACACACAGAAACCAGAAATGACCGTGTCCCCAGGCGAGCGAGGCGAAGGAGCCTGGTGGCAGAGTGGTTATGCGCTGGGCTAACTGCTAACTGCCAGGTCGGCAGTTCAAAACCACTGGCTGCTCTGCCGGAGAGAGACGAGGCTTTCTCGGCGACTCCTGTGAAGATCAGTCTGGGAAGCCCATAGGGGCAGTTCCACCCCACCCTGCAGGCTTGCCGAGTCAGGAGGGGCTGGGTGGCAATGCGCTGGGGGGCACAAGGAGCGGAGCCCTGCTGGCATGAGGGCTGACCACTTGGCTGCTAACCCAAAGCCGGGCAGTTCAGACCCCCTGGGCCACCTGCTCCCTAATGACCCAACAGGAGTGTCGAGCCAGCCCACAGGATTCCCCAGGCTGTAATCATGCAGAAACAGCGCCACCATGGCGTTCTCCCATGAAGTGGCAGGTGGGTTCAAATCGCCCACCTTCGCCTTAGTAGCGAGTGCTTAACCGTTGCGCCCTGAAGGCAGCCTGGCAAACTCTCCGGGCAGATGGACTCTGTTACACGGAGTCTCTATGAACCACAACCATCTGCAGAGGCTGGGGGTACCTTAAAGGGTGCTGCGTTTAGGTTACAGGTGGCGGGTTGGGGAGAAGGGTTGCACAGCTTGAAAAGCATCAGCAAGGTTGCGAGATCTATGGTGGGGATTGCTGAGCTGGCCCACGTTCTGTTACATATTTTCAAACACGCCCCACCCCACCCGCACGGAGACTGGACCTTCCACAATGACGACTACCCTCAAGAGAATGAATAAAGACTGCAACTGCAATGGCCACTCTGGAGTCCTGGGAGTGTGTCCTGGTGACACGTGGGGCTGCTGTCTGAGACCCCCAGCTGCCCTTCGAGAGAAGGCAGGCCCTCCCCTCCCGCAGGGGCACTCAGTCCTCCTCTGTCCTACTGGGTGCAGGGGGAGTCAGAATTGACTCAAGAATGGGGGGGCTTGAGGGGTTTTCGTGAATCCTGACAATGACCAATTACAGCGCACTTTCTGCTGCTACACCTGAGCTTCAGGATTTCACACACGGGAGCTAGTTGGGTCCTGAAAGCCACACCGTACAAAAGGCTTTCTTACTCTCCCAGGTTGATGGCTGTGAGGAGTGAGGCACTCGAGGGGCAAGCCCGGTGCCTGGGGGGACACAAAGGACTCGGCAGAGGCAGAGATGTGAACCCGCTCTGGTTGGAGGGCCAGGCTGGCTGCAATGTGGAGGCTGCGGAGAGGATGCCCGAGGAAGTGGGGCAAACGGCCATCCGTGCAGACAGGCGAGCACCGCTGCAGACAAGCGTGCCTGGTGATGAACAGGAGCTTGAGGGGCGCCCCAACCTCTGGCCAGATTCACACCCAAGCAGATGCTGTGCACCTTAAGCACCCACGAGGGCTTTTCCAACACCCCCCAGATTGGATTTTGTGCGCTCCTGTGAGCGGGGTACCAGGCTGGGTCCTTTCACACCACCTCAGCCTATCTCACCCTGTGGTTACTCTAGATTCCAAATCACACCCACTGCCACCGAGCCGGTCTGGACTGGGCAACCTGATCTCCACAAGGCTGCTGGGAAGTCAGACAGCCTCCTCTTTCTCCCGGGCGGCAGCTGGTGGGTGGGAACAATCAACCCCTGCGAACCCCCAGAGGGCTCCTTTAGATGAGTGTCCTCATTCCCGGCCATACCTCATGATTGCAGAACCAGGCCCCGTGGCCCTGAGGTTAAGCGCTCTGCCTTTGACCTATCTTCGAATCCCTTGGTGAGGGTGGGGGCCCACCTGTGAAGCCCTTGTCAGGGGCACTGGGCAGGTACGTGGGGGCGGCTTCTAGCAGGGGGTCCAGGTGCTTGGTGCTGGTGGGGACTTCACTGGGCTCCCAGGAGCCGGAGCAGAAGAGGCTCATCGAGGAGTCCAGGTTGGCGTGGATCTCACGGATGGCTGTGGGGGGAAAGTGAGCAGTCAGCAAGCAGGCTAGGAAAGCCGTGGCCCTGGAACATTGCAGCATGGCTGTGCTATTGGGGAGAATGACTGGGGTGGGGGGTGGAGGAAGCCCGGGGCCTGCTGACTGGAGCAGTATCGCTCATCTGCGGCTGGCTGACTGCACCCGGGCCCCTGACTCCTGACATGGTCTCCTGCTGATAGAATGGGGGACAGTTCATGTGACAGATGAGGAGACTGGTGCAGAGAATGCAAGGGGCTTGCTCACAGCTGAGATGGGGCTGGGCCTGGGTTCTGGTTGGCTCTGACTCACACCAAGATGTGAGTTCTTCCCCAGGGCCAATGTACACAATCGAGTCTGGCTGGTGGGGAAGACTACCTTCCTAAAGGCCCCCTCCGGGCACTGCACAGAAACCCATCTGTGCGGGGCAGAGGCCACTTGATTCCTCCTCACGGTCTTCTCAATGTGCCCTCCACTCTCCCCTTTGGGCATTTTAATCACCGTTCCTACCCAGCACCCCACAACCGTGGTCATGCACAAGTCCAAGTCCAGAACTGTGGACCCGCACCTCCCTATGTACAGAGTCCAGGTGCACCGGACTGGTTGAGACCTCCCCGCCACTCCTGCTCCAATATGCTTTAAACCAGAACCCACATCATCTCCCCTCTGTGGGATACAGAAAGATTTCCCCCAGGTGCTCCCGTTTGCTAGCTCATTGGGTGGTCAGCTGCTTACACGTTTTCTCCCTGGAGGCACCAACCATTCCAGAGCAATCAGACAATTGTGCGTCCCACCTTCAGGCACGCGCTACTGCGCTACCGGTAAGGATAATGATCATTTTCCCGGAGAGCCCAGAGTAAAGGTCAAGCCCACCCAAGGGCAACCAAGGCTAGGCTGCCATCTTGAATCTAGGATCTGCCCAACTTGTCACACGTGTACCCCTAATCCCTCCTCTTCCTATTGTGTGTACACCCCTAGACTGCCCCCCTCCCATTGCTGTATTGCCTATGGTACAACCCTTTCCTGTGACACATGTGGTTACCTGTAACCAGGGAGGCTCACACACCATCCCCCCCAAGTATATAGAAGCCTTATTTAAAAATATACTCTTCACTCCCCCTCTTCCACCTCCACATGGACCACCAAGAGGGGCCGCAGTGAGCATGCTACCATGAAATGTGCCTGACTCCTTCATCTCCCCTCCTATCTTCCCCACTCTTTATGACTATGACAATCTTTGGACACACCTGGAAGCGCACCTACATGAAACAAAAAGGCCAGCAAACTGCAGCTGAGAAGAGGAGGGGGAGAGAGGGTGATTCCTAGACATGGAACAAAGCGAACAGAAACCATGAGAATGCCTGAATGTCGCCACCAATGAACACTTTGTAGGCAAACTGCTGAATCTAATCTGCTGTGTAAACTTTCACTGAAAACAAAGTGGGGGGTGTTCTGAAATTGATTGTGGTAATGCTTGTACAATTCTTCTTGATATGACTCAACGATTGAATTGTGTGATATGTGGATTAAATGCCAATCAAACCATATATTTACATATATATCTCCCTACAGACATGAACTGAATTTGTATTGGGGGAAAGTAGCTCTTACTTGTTCTATGACAGAAATTTCCTCCCTGCCCTTTTGAGTGTTGATGGGGGCGGGCGGGTATTTTCATTTATACCCATTATTTGTATTTCTGTCTTTTTACGATTATGATTGTCGCCTTATCACCTTAGTACAATGTTGGTTTTGATTCTTTCTGTTGGCTCCCCTGACACAAGGGGCTACGGGGAGGCAAAGGTCAGGGGTGAGCAATCGGGTGGGAAAGGCGACTGGGGAGTAAGCAATGAAGGCAGTGGGAGAGGGAGCACTAGAACTGAGTGTGATTGTACAACTCACATTAAAGGCAATTTACCCAACTGGGGGGGGGGAGGGTGCTCTAGGATTGATGTGGTGGTAACTGTCCAATGCCCCTTGATAGGACTGGACAATTGAATTGTATGATATGTAAACTATGTGCCAATAGAACTGTCAAGGGGGGAAATACAACAAGTTAACTTTTAAAAAGCCCCCCCAAACAAGCTAACTTTCTGGTTCTCCAAAGCGATGGGACAGTGTGATGGCTGTATTTAATCACGGAACCAGGAATGCTACTTTCCCCGAGTGTGGCTCAGAGAATGCGCGCATACTGGGACATAAAGCAGTGCTAATCTGACCCCTTTCTTGAGAGACTGGCCTCAGACCTCCCTGAACCTGCCTCCTCGTCCACATGCAGTAAAACCAAGCGGACCTGCTCTGTCTCTCCAGCACTCTGACGATGAAGACTGGTGCCGAGACAAGCTTAGGCTCAGTGGGGGCGAGTGGGCAGGGGGTTCACAGCCCCATTTTACGGATGAGGCAAGCGAGGCCTGGCTAGTCGCAAATAGGGCTCCCATCCTCTGTGCTACTGCTGCAGGGAGGGTCGCTTCTTGAAAATGGCTTGGGGTACTGGGGACACAGAGGCTCAGAGAGTTCAGGACCACCGGCGTATAAGGGGCAGAATCTAGGCTGCTGTGCTTAAACACCCCTGCAGGATCAGTGGGACTCCTGCCTGGCCACCCCCCACACGCCGTGTACCGGCTCCCACCTCTGGGGCTCACCTGGAGCCATCTCGCTGCCAAAGATGAGGGCCCGGGCCCGGGAAGTGGTCAGGCAGTGGCCCAGGGCATCCCTCCGGAGGTTAGTGTTGATGAGCGCTGCCTCCACGCCCAGCTTGGCCATGCCCAGCCACAGCCCCACGTACTCGTTGCGGTTCTCCATGAACAGGGCAGCCACATCGCCCGAGGCCAGCCCCTGGGCCTGCAGGAAGTTGGCCACGCGGTTTGAGTAGTCGTCCAGCTGACGGAAGGTCCAGTGGGCGTCTGTGCCCTCAAAGATCAGGGCTGTCTTGTCAGGGTGGCGCCGTACTGTAGTGGCGAACAAACCGGGCACCGTCTGCTTCTCCCGCAGGTACCGCCGCACCTTGCCCTTCACCTTCAGGAGTACCATGCCACCACTGTGGGGGAGCAAGGATGCCGTGTCAGCCTGGGGAGGAGTCCTGGCACCCTGGAGCCTCATCAGCCAGATCACAGGTGACATTCTCCTTTCAGAGCACCCACTGGGTGCCAGGGACTAGGCAAACTCCTCCACACGCACGATCTCAACTGTGCTGCACATTAACCCTAAGAGACTGGGGTGCTTACTCTCTCCCCTGTACAGATGAGGAAATTGAGGCTCCGATGGTGAGATGTGGTCAAGCGTGTGAACACCGGGCCTCTGTGGCTCCAGAGTTCAGTGCCTACCTTCTAAGCTCCAACCTGCACTTACAGCTGTGGCAGAAGCACCAGGGTCCCAAGGTCAAATCCACTCTCATTTGGTACCTCCACCTACCACTCGTGGCCTTGGTAAACAATGGATGGATTTGAAAATCTGTTGTCTTTTTTCTTCCATGAGCCCAGCAGGGCGGGGCTCTGACCGCTCACCACCTTTTCCACTGCGCCCCACTACATACTGGGCACAGAGTGGATGATCACACACACACACACAGTGTTTGTGGAATCACTTGGAAGCATCTCTCTTCCCTGCCCACCTCGTCTCTCCCCCACCTTCTAGCTCCCTACCCCTGAAGCGCCCCCAGTTCCTGAGGTCTACAGGATTCCCTCTGGTGGGAATATCTTGTCCCCCACCCTCAGGGCACAGCTCAAGTATGAATTCTTCTCTCCTAAGGGCATGCTCTGACACCCCCCCACCCCACCCCCAGGCCCCTGGCTTCAGCCACCTCTCCTTGCCTTGACCCCCACCACACTCCATGGCAGTGCCCTCTTTCCAGTTGTGGTCATGCGATACTTCCTTTAATAATCAATTCAGGCCAACAAATGGGCATGGGAGAGTGCCAGGGGCTGGCACAGAGGGGTGACCATGAACATCAGGGTCTTTGTCTGCATGACTTAGCCAGTTTCTAGGTTCCCTGTGTCTCCAGCTTGGCTCCCTGTCCAGACTGAGCTTAGCCCAGGAGTGACCCTTTGTGGCTCCTTTCTGGGCCCCAGGAACTAGCCCAGAGGTGGGAGAAGTTGCATCTGGCACTGGACACCCCCACCCCTCCGTCCCTGGGGACCACAGCTGGCTTTCTTTTGGTAGCCCAGGTGTTCCCAGATGTCTGACTCAGGGCTCTGCTCTCCCTGGCCTGTCAGGGGTCACGTGCCCTCTCTGACTCATGCCAACCTGCCCACAGGGGATCTCTTCACCCTTTTATGAGGCTCCACGATGTCCTTGGAGCCTCCTGCAGATGTCCCTGCGGCACACATGGGGGTGTTTGATGGATGTCCTAAGCCCCAAGCTCGAGCCATTCCCCAGGAGACTTTGACCCTGGAGACAGTGCTTCCAGGAACTACTAGAGGGTATATGGAGCAGAGGTTACTGCTCTGGGACCTAGGGGCTGTGACCATAGAGGTGGGAACTGGTCTAGGGAGACCTGGGCGATTAGGAGCCCGCCATGGCTTAGAAGACCCCAGGAAGGGCTGGACCAGATACTCACAAGATATCGCGCCTGATGGTCTTGAAAAAGATGCGGACGAAGCGCCAGCCACCAGACCCCAGGTAAAGGAGCAGCAGAGAGAACCCCACTTGGGTCCAGGGCAGTTTCAGTACCAACTTGGAGAACAGCAGGGTGCCCACCAGAGATGCCCCAAGCAGCATTGTGACCTGTGGGTACAGGGTGGTCAGTGCACAGACCCTTCTGGCTTGGGTCCCCCTTATCCTGGCCCAAGCAGACGGGCCCCTGTGACACCTAGCCATCTGAATGGATGGGTCGAGGGCAGGGTGGCCTAGAGACAAGGCACTCACTCGGGTTGAGAAGTTTCAAGTCCGAGAGGAAGGAGGCCGGCTGTGTTCTGGTTCCCTAGTGCTATCTCTGCTGGCCATTCTGAGTGACCTTGGGCCTGAGAGGCCTTGGGACCCTTTCCCACTGGTAGCCTCCCTCTGTGCCATCGGTATAGGGAGGCTGACTCCAGTTAGCGCAAGGCAGTGTACTTTCCTGGAGTCCTTTACCCAAGGTAAGGTGGAAAATGTCTCTCAATTCCCCACCTAGAGAGAGACCCAAGGAGGTTCTGAAGATGGCCAGGCTAAGCCACAGCATTCAAAGGGGCAGGAGGTCCGGCCCATAGGCACAAGGGGGTGCCTTGCCTCTGGCGGCCAATAGAGGGCAGCGGAGCAAACCGGTTAGAAGCTGGAGGTGCTGGAGAGGTGACCGCCCAGGGGGAAAGGTGATGAGAGGGGATGGGGGGCCTCGGAGGCACCCCTCCTCCATCCGAGCCCTCCTGGCCACATCGTTAAGTCTGGGGTTTATGGCATGGGAACTGCTGCCGGCCGTGCAGCAGGGACTGCCTGGGGTTTGTGGACTTGCTCAAGGCAGCAGCAGATGGGACTGAGTTTTCCTCCTTCGGGTTCTCCTATTCCTGGGGAGGGGATCAAGGTCAAGGCTGGGAAGCGGCGGAGTCTCCAGGGCAGGATGAGGACATGGTCCAGAACACAGATCCACCCTTCTACTCCTCGGGAAAAGTCGTTATCCGGGAGAACCAACCGAGGCCCCCAACCCCAACGCCTGGGTCTCCAAGGTCCGCGGACCTTCAGCCTCCCAGAGCCCGCCGCAGCAGAAGGCAGGAGCCCATCTCGGAAGGCCGGAGGATGGGATGGGGAAGGGAGGGGAGAAGGTGCCCTGTGCCTGGTTCGCTGAGGCCCCGCCCCGGGGCTTGCATACGCCCTCGCCCCTAGAATCAGGGTAGCAAAAGTGGCCGGCTGGACACAGAGGGGCAGGGCGCGCCCCCCACCCGAGGCTGACCATGCCACTTCCCCCCCAACTCGGTCGGACACGCTCCCCTTAGCAGGGCTCGCCGGCCCGGCCTGTGCTCACCCAGCGTCGGCCCCGCCGTGCGGTGCCCGGTGCAGATGCGGCCCGGCTGCGGCAGCGGAGTGGGGAGCGCGGGGGG